GAACATAAGCAAATTTGCTCAAATAAAGCACCAAACGAAAAAAAAAACAGTCTTCATTAAACACATGTTTGCTTGCTCCTCTACGTCGAATAACAAATGCTAGGGCTGTAAGCAAGAACATGACAAACAAAAAATAAAAAAAAAATTCATGTTTTGACTTTTTTCTCTGCTTCTACAAATGTATGTATGAGGGTGGGAGGAAGAACAAACTAAGGGTGAAAAAATGAAAGAAAAAAGCGTTGCATAAAACCGCATTATAGCATTTGGTTGTTGAATCTATTTTAAAATATAATCCAAAATAAATGTCGAAAAGAAACAGAAAATAACCAGCATAAAAGATCTAACTAAGTTATAACATATCAAATGCCTTGCAAGTTTAGGACCAATACAATGAGAGCAATGCTTGGTGATAAACCAAATTCTAAATTACTTAAATTGACTTAACAGCTTTTACATGACTTTCACAACTGGTCGCCTCTGCTCCTTCTCGTAAAACGGTAAGGCTGGAATAATATATTGCAAAAAAACTCTCATTTGTTCCCATTAATTAAACAAAAATTAGCTTAGCCAATCTTTGTTTGTAAAAAATGTTTCCTTGCCTCTTATCATCAACTAAAAACTAAGATGACTATAAAAGCTCAGAAAAAGACAAAAGTTTTGAAAACTTTGCTTCTTCTTTGAGTCTTTTTCTTTTTCTACTTTGAAGAAGAACAGCGAAGATAATTGTTTAGCACTCCACGAAGTAAACCTACTGCTGCTACTACCAACTTAATAAAAAGAATTTCCACAGTGGGAGAAAATAAATTTATGTAAGGCAAAAAATTTTTCTTTTTGATTTTTAAAACTGACATTTTTAATCCCTTTTTGACGTGAACAAATCATGAAAACATGAAAGTGGTAAAAAAAAGAATAATTTTTGATTTTATATAAAATCAGTCTTAAGCTCTCTCTACTTTTATTTTTTGGCTGTTTCCTAGAATGTAATAATTGAGGATTTTTTGATGCAGTGAAGGAGTACTGTAAAAGACAAAAAAAGAAAAAGTCGTTGTCAACGCCGATAAGTATTCTAAGAACAACTTAATCAATGAATAATTCTCAAATAATACGTAGCAAATGGTTGTCGAAAAAATGCGTAGAAAGAAAAGAACTTTAAAGTTTAGTTCATTAAAAAAAAGTAAAAAAAAAGGAAACAGAAAAGCACTAACGAGCTATGATGATTGAGGCGACGATGAGTAGAACTCGAACTTGACAGATCAGCACCTGGCCTAACCACCATGTAGTTAATGACATCAGACAAAGATATCAAACCCTAAATTGTTCAAACCTTTCAGTATTTTGAAAAAAAACAACTTATTCAGACTGTAGACAGAAAAAAAATTAAAATTTCGTCAGTTCTATAATTCTTGAAGGAGTGTCAAGAGAAACCTCGATTGCTCCATTTGGCCTCAAAGCGCATAAACGATGAACATTTCTCTCGACAAGAACATTAAGCGCCGTCCAAAGAGAATCGGTATCTCGTACAGCAACAACTCTATCTTTCTCTTGCTACAAAATATCTGCTCTTGTGAATCTGGTAAGAGGCAGGCAGAAACGGAATACAAAATTTAATAATTGGATAAAGGATAAAGTTACCCTAAACGTATTTCTAAAGGCAAGCGCCTGTTCAACAGTAACGTCCAGTTGATCCAACTTATTTTCAAGCGCTACACCAATAGCATCAAAGCGTGAATACATATCAACAACTTTATAAGTATTTCTCTCAACAACAGGTAAACCGCTGACACCTTTATGCAGCAAAATATCTAAGCAATCCACTAAGAGAGTATCCGGAAAAATCTGAAACAAAAAAAAATGAAAATCATGAAGTTTTTTACGGTAGTTCAGATTGCGCTCTAAGCTGACTTTCCACGCAGAAACTACCCTTTCAAGGTTTACGACGATAACCAAAAAGCTAATTCCAGTCCAAAAATATCTAGAAAGTGGTTATAAGCAGGCGTCAAAATGACTAAAAAATAAGAGCTCTTAAAGTGCTCATTACCATTTAAAATAAAAATCAGCTTTCAAAACTGCAACAAGAAGTTAAAATTTCTAAAAAAAACGCCCAACAACTGCATAGTTACTGTTTGCTGATGCAAATAAAACTAAATGAATAAACTAACCACTCGAATACCCGTCCATGTCCCAACGCCTAACTCTTTACATGATTTATTATGATAATCAGGAATGGATAGTGACTGCCCCTGGAAGAATATGTTCAAACAGACAGCAATTATGAATGTATCAGTATATAAATAACAATGAAAAATTGGGTGTCGGCAACAAAGATCAGAACTAATTCTACTATAGCTATAACAGTCAGAGCTAAAAATTAACACTTACGAAAAGCCACATAAATTTCAGGATTCGCTTATGTGTAAGAATAAATAATGGTGTTCCATGAAGTGGATCCAAAACTGGCAGGCGATGAATTCGAAATTTAGTCAACAAACGTGCAGCTTTCAACAAACTAAAAAAGTTAAAAAATAAACTAATCGAACCTAATTATAAAAAGAGAAAAGAACAATAAATTAGTTCATCTGTAGAAGAACACAAGAAAATTGCAAAAACAAACAATGTCAAGCAATATAACCGGTGTTCACCAACCTTTCATCAGCATTTATTGAGATCAAATCCATCAACTTGCCTTCAGCTTTGATCATCTCTAAAAACAACAAAGATGGCATTTGATTGATCTGTTACTGGCATGATTTTCCGAAGCACTAACAAAGATGCAAGGAGAATTCCTGTGGTTTAAAAACAGTACACTAAAAGGTAATCTCCCTCTACCTCGATATTCCTGAATAGTAAGTCGTCCGATGTCACCGTTTGAGAGGAAAGTGGAAACATCATTGATTGCTTCTGCAGCTGTTTCACCCTCTTCCATCGGAACGTCAGTGGAATCCTCATTTTTTTCAGCTTCTTTTCGTTTCCTATAAGAAGAAAAGAAGAAAACGTAATCTATTAAGTAGTCTGAAAACGAATGACGTTTCCAATAATTATTTATTCATTCTTATCCAAATAAACAGCAATGCACCTACCGTCAACAACGGTACACTTTGCAACATTAAATTCATGTTAAAAAAAACGAAACGCAAGCGAATAAAACCGACAATTTTTTATCCCATATGTCACTCCCTTTTCAGTTAACTCACTGCTTTCCTAAAAAACTAATCTAAACCTAGGAAAAAGAATTTTTTAAACAATAAGAAAAAACTCTTAACTTTAGTGAACAGCTGAAAACCAATGACTAGCCTTGTTTTTCTTGAGCTGCTAAAAAAATTAAAGTTTTTAGTGAACTTGTCTAGACTTCTACTTTTAATCCATTATCTCCCTAACTTAAAACATTTCCTCGTCTCCTAAAGGCAAACAAAAAAATACACATTCAACCCAGCCGCTGATTTAAAAGATTGACAAATTTGGTAAAAATAGCGACAATGGTAAAAAAATGATGCTTGGTAAAGACAAACTAAATAATTCAGTTGGTAATTGTTTTATTCAAAGCTGCCATTGAACGAATGCAGTTAACAAGAAAAGTTACCAAAAGAAGATGGAGAACAAAGTAAAATACAGACGGAAAACTATCTGAGGAACATACTTATGCAATCGAAGCATTACTCGAATAAAGTCAGTCACTGACAGTATACCCGTAATTGCGCCATCATTATCAGGATCAGATAACAGAACATGACGTGTATCTGCAAAAAAAAAAAAATAAAAGTCAAGTCCACCGACAAAGCATCCTTCAAGCGGAACAGTAAACGGTTAACAGAAATAAAGCTCATATCATAAAATTTTCTTCGTTCCCGTTCCCATCAACTTATATAAAGGTGTCCATAAAAATGGCTGAAAACCTGTGCCAGGTAATTGCAGTACCAATTCTGTCACTAAAGCCAAGAACAATTATTGTTCTTTCATTCTTTTCCTTTCACCTGTTTTTACCCCCACATCTTCCAAACATTACGATCATTGAATATGATAAATTCAGTTGCTGAAAGTTAGTTCCCGCTCACCTCTTCAACCATCCATTCAGCCATTGTACCTCTCATGTTAATTTCCTTACCAACTTATAGAGTTACGCAAAAACAATTCAACTGTCTTAGCGACCGAAACAGAAAATGAGCAAAATAAAATAAAGGAAAGATAGCCAGATATTTAAAAAAGTAACAAACTTTGATATATTAAGCCGTTAAAAGCTTTCCGAAGTTGCAATTTGCTGTCAAAAATGACCATTTTAGAGCTTGTAGGCATTGCATCGTAACAGTTGTTGTACTGTAAGAGACGAGCATAGTTACGCTCATTTTCCGGATGCATATGCATACTTAGTTCGCTGTTCGATTGAGATGAATAGCTACTGGACGAGTGCTTGTTGTGGTTGGTCATCTCACAAACAGACGAATACCTGAAAATTAAACATCCAAAGTTAAGCGATGTTCAACGACATTAACTTAGATCGTCTTAAATGAAAATGCTTGAAGAATGTTTGAAGAAATGAAGGAAGATACAAGAATAAGTTGAGGAATGTTCAATTGAAGGACGAAAGACTATATGGAGTAAAATTTCATAATTTCATATGCACCTCCTCCTCCTTCTTTTTTCTCTGTTTATCAGTTTGTTCTTTTATTTTTTAAATCCTAATATGAAAAGGCAATTTAAGACAACATATTTCCACGAAACTACTCCTATCCGTCCCAAAAGCCTACTAACTCTCCTTCCATTCCCTGTCCACCAAGAAAAAAAGGAGATAAAATAAAGTGGAAAAGTAAAGAAAAAAGAACGTATAAAATCAGGTGCTTTTAGCCAAAAGCAGAACTACAACAACATCAGCAACGTCAGGTGGACGACGACAGTGACCGTGAAGACGATGATGACATAGCTGATGGTGATAGTGACGAATGGCACATTGGAAATAAGACGTCATTTTGCAATAACATGGTAAAAACAAGACAAAAAAAAAGAAAAAAAGCAGCTTATACTTCTTATCATTGTTCAAAAGTTGCATTAGGTATACCAGACACAAATATGGTCAAAAAGCTTCTTACGCACAGAAAAAAAAAAAAAGGAGAAAAAAAGAGAGGATTTAAAGTTCAATGTTTTAGTTGCTCACTAACTGCTAAGACTAAAACCAGTGGCATAAAAAAACTTAGAAGAAAAAAATTGGAAAATTACTACACTTTTATAGAAGAAAGCACCCATTTTATAAGCAAAAATTGGAGACAAAGTTTGTGTTTTATGTTGAATTTCGATTATTACAGATACGGTTCCATTAATGCGGACCGCAGTAGACGGTTTGATGATAAAATCATTTGGAAAAAGAACAATGATCACGTATTTCAATTCTTCGATCGGTTTTGCAATCAAAAGAAAAATATACTGTGAAGTGTGAGAGAAAAAGAAAAGAAACTTGTATCTTTTCTAACTTTTAGCAAACAAAACCGTTCATTGTAAGACAACGTAAAATAATTGATAGTTTATAACCCTCCTATACCCCCCCTCCCAAAAAAAAATACAGTTGGAAAGATGATGGTGTTGATGATGAAAACAATGATGACGATGACCGGTAATGATGCTGAGGATAGTGTTGGTAGTGTTAATGATAGCGGCGAGGTGACGATCAGCAAAAAATGAGAAAAATCATAGAATTTAAAATAAAAAAAACTAACTTTTGTTAATTAAAGAATTTCAGAAATTTAAATAGAAAAAAAAAAAGAAAAAGAACAATCAAAGATTAACAAAATTTCAATTTTTTTTTTT